CTCACTGCATGTCTACCCAGTCCCTTTCCTGAAGTGACCAGGAATGAAAAGAAGCCATTTAAGAAGCCATTCCTGGACCCCTGGTGCTTATGCTTTTTTCTGGCTGAGGTCCGCCAAGGAAAGGCAAGGGCAGTTTGCTTCATCGGAGAAGTCTTGGGGCACTGGGATACCTGGCACAGTTTTGTTGTTGTTTTGTTTTTGTTTTTATTTTTTGAGTTAGAGTATCACTCGCCCAGGCTAGAGTGCAGGCACAATCCTGGCTCACAGCAGCCTCAAATTCCTGTGCTTGAGAGGAAGGGAGGGAGGAAGGGAGGGAGAGAGGAGAAGGAAAAAAAAACTGTGCTCAAGTGATCCTCCTATCTCTATCACCCTAGTAGCTGGGATTACAAGTGTGTGCCACTACATCCAGCTCAAATATATATATATATTTTTTTTTTGGTAGAGATGAGGTCTTGCTATGTTGTCCAGGCTAGTCTTGAACTCCTAGACTGAAGCAACCCTCCTCCTCAGCCTCCCAAAGTGCTGGAATTACAGATGTGATCCACCACAGCTGGTGGCTTGAGACAGTTTTTTAAAGATGAGAATTTGTTTTATTTCTTCCACTATTTCTTTTTTTTTTTTTTTTTTTTTTTGAGTCGGAGTCTCACTCTGTCCCCCAGACTGGAGTGGAGTGGCACGCTCCTGGCCACTGCAGCCTCAACCTACTGGACTCCAGTGATCCTTCCGCCTCAGCCTTCCAAGTAGCTGGAACTACAGGGGCATGCTACCACGCCCGGCTAATTTTTTTTTTTTTTTTTTTGTAGAGATGAGCTCTCACCAAGTTGCCCAGGTAGGTCTCAAACCTGCAGGTTCAGGCAATTCACTTATCTCGGCCTCCCAAACCACAGGATTACAGACTGAGCCACCCAGCCAGCCCTCTTCCACTATTTCTTAAAATTTTAATATTTATTGTGCATTCTTCTATTTACAATAGTTACATGCTTACTAAAGACAATTTTGAAAATACTAGCTACAAGCAAGATTAAAACTATCTCTAATCATACAACCTGGAGATACACTCTGACAATATTTTAAACAAAGTTAAGATCATGATATGATACTGTACATTTTGATTTGTCATTTGTTTTTATAACCCATAATGTACAGATCTTCTTCTTGGGTGATTGGGGCTAAAAGCAATGTAGAATTTCCAGAAGTTTCATCCTTCCATTTGAGAACCCCTGACATGTTAGAAATGAAAAAGACCCATGTCATTTTTAGAGTCATTGAAAGTATAAGCACTTAATTTTTATTTGAAAATTATAAAGGAATTACACTCACTTATCATCACATCTTTCTTGCTCTCTATTTTGACAAACATATATTTTTTTTAAAGGGCAGAATTATTATTTTATTGTCATTTATAATCAGATGGCTATATAGTCTCCATACTTCACACATTTTGTAAATAAAAAAACTCTAAGTTTTAAATAGTCAATGACTGGTTATGTTTTCAGAAAACATAATTAGATTAATTCGTTAATGATGACTTCAAGCTTTTCCTTATTAGCTCCAGAAAATTCAGCCACGTTTTGTCCCTTTTTAAAAAACTGAAAGGTTGGCATACATTTGACTTCACACTCTGAAGCAACATCCTGACAGACATCTGCATCCACTTCAAGGAGCACCACACTGTAATACTTTTCAGAGAGGGCATGAAAGAAAGGCTTGATCATTTTGCAAGGCCCACACCACGTAGCTGAGAAGTCAACTACAACGAGTTTATCAACTGCAGCTTCCAAGACATCCTGAAAAGAGGCCTTGCTATTGATCTATTTCACCATTTTGACTACTGGGGTCTAGGGAGCAGCTGTAAGAACCAATGGAAATGGATCCTCAGCCCCGGACCGAGCTTAACTTTATAGTCAAATTCCATCTATTATTTTTTTTTTAATTCCATCTTTTAAAGGGTATAGCGTTTAACAATTTGATACATATTCTTTCTCTTTATTGAGTTGATAAATGTATCCACGCATCATCTTTTTGTCTGTCTGCCTGTCTCTGTTCATCTATCCATCCATTTCTCTTTGTTAGTGGGTAAGAGAACAGGCTTCGGAGCTAGCTTTCCTGGGTTCGGTTCTCTGTTCTGCCTCTTCTAGCTGTGTAACCTGTGACGTGTTACCCTGTGTCTCAGTTTTCTTATCTCTAAAATGGGAATATCATGTGATAGGATGGTTGTTAGAATTAAATGTATTAATGCAGTTAAAGTTTGTGAAACAGTTTTGCCAGTTAGTAAGATTCTCACTCGGTGTGTATTATTATTATTCACACATAAACCCATAGACACATTTACTCACATGCGTTTCAAACAAAATGAAGTACGTATTGGCATGTAGCTAGCTTAAAAAAAATTATTATGTTTAAAATTATTATTATACAACATTATATATAATAAGATAATATAAATATATATATATTTTTTGTTTGTTTGTTTGTTTTTGTTTTTTGAGTTGGAGTCTCAAACTGTCGCCCAGACTGGAGTGCAGTGGCCGCTCCCGGCCACCGCAACCTCGACCTACTGGGCTCCGGCGATCCTTCCGCCTCAGCCTTCCAAGTAGCCGGAATTACAGGCATGTGCTACCATGCCCGGCTGATTTTTTGATTTATTGTAGAGATGAGGTCTCGCTGCCCAGGCGGGTCTCGAACCCGCAGGCTCAGGCAATTCACTCACCTCAGCCTCCCAAGGCGCGGGATTACAGGCTGAACCACTGAGCCCGGCTTAAATATATATTTTTATATATAAATATTTTATATTACCCATAAGTTATATATAATATAAACTAAATTATATATAAATACATAAATTGCATATTATAATACAAATTAAATTATATATTATATAAATACATAAATTCTATATTATACTGTAAATTAAATTATATAAAATTAATTATATATAAATTACAAATTATATAAAAGTATATATAAATATATATTATAAATATAGAAAATAAAATAAAATAACATATACAAACATTATTAATAGATCATGAACATTCTTTTATTATGAACATTTTTTAACTTTTATTTATTTTTTTGACTCGGAGACTCACACTGTTGCCCAGGCTGGAGGGCAGTAGCACGTTCACGGCCACCACAGCTGCGACCTGCTGGGTTCAGGTGATCCTTACACCTCAGCCTTCCAAGTACCTGGAACAACAGGCATGTGCCACCATGCTCGGCTAATTTTTTTATTTATTTTAAAGACAAAGTCTCACCAAGTTGCCCAGCCTACTCTCAAACCCATGGGCTCAGGCAATCCTCTCACCTCGGCCTTCCAAAGTGCTGGGATTATAGGTGTGAGCCACTGTGCCCAGCCCATAAAATTCTTATTTCTTAACTTTTTATTTAATCTAGTGATCTATTTGTTCATTCATCTGTGACATGCTTCTTTCATCACACTGTTTTTCCCCTGTAATCTCTGCCATGGCAGATTCTCACTATCCTTTCCCAAAACTGTCCTATAAATGCTTATATATTTTCCACATGAAATTAAGAAGCAATTGACATTTTAACATTAATTTAATCCACTCTTATGAAAACATGATATAATATCAGCATTGGGTCATGTCTTGGTTTATAACCATCAATAATATTTCAGAATTTTTAAAAAGTTATTTCTAGATCTTTTATAATTTAGCGTAATACATTTTGCCATAATATTCTAAAAAAGCAAATACCAATAAGTTTGAAATTCAAGGTAAAGTGAACATGGTTCTAGAATATATAAAATGCCAAAGTTAGCCGGGCTCGGTGGCTCAGCCTGTAATCCCGCGCCTTTGGGAGGCTGAAGTGAGTGGTTTGCCTGAGCCCGCGGATTCAAGACCCGCCTGGGCAGTGAGACCTCATCTCTACAATAAATCAAAAAAATCAGCCGAGCATGGTAGCGCGTGCCTGTAAGTCCGGCTACTCGGAAGGCTGAGGCGGAAGGATCGCTGGAGCCCAGCAGGTGAGGTTGCAGTGACCCGGAGTGGCCACTGCACTCCAGTCTGGGCGACAGAGTGAGACTACAACTCAAAAAAAAAAAAAAAAAAAAAAGCCACAGTTAACACAATAAGAAATGCAAACTCTAAGCAATACATGGTGAATAAACAATATTATTTCAACAACAAAAACTCTTCTTTTATAAAGTACCAGGCCCAAGAAGTGTTACATGCGGATCTTACCACATATGTTCCCCATTGTATACTCGTTGATCTAGAACGCAGAATAAAATAAAAACTGCTAAAATCATTTAGAGGCTATTATAACTATGTCCTCCAATAAAGGCAGTTCAAGAAAATATGATTATGTTTCAATTTTGTTTATAAATATCAACACCAGTATCACACACAAAATTTTATCTAGCCAAATGATAATGTGTTTTGTTTAAAGATTATCTCAATAGAATAAAAAGAAATAAAAACTCCTTTTGTACAAAATATATATTTTTTTGAGTTGGAGTCTCACTCTGTCACCCAGGCTGGAGTGCAGTGGCAAGCTCACAGTCACCGCAGCCTCGACCTGCTGGGCTCAGATGATACTTTTGCCTCAGCCTTCCAAGTAGTTGGAACTGCAGACATGTGCCACCATACCTGGCTAATTTTTAAATTTTTATTTTATTTTTATTGTAGAGACTAGGTCTTGTCAAGTTGCCCAGGCTGGTCTCAAACGCATGGACTCAGGCAATCTTACCTCCACCTCCCAAAGTGCTGGGATTATAGGTGTGAGCCACCATGCTCGGTTTGTACAACATTCTTCAAAACTACATAGAAAAGAACTTTCTTAATCTAATGACATAATAATAAATAGCAACAATAACAATATTAAATTAAAAAACTTGAAAAGAATTTTATTTAAGATTTGTTTAAAAAATACAAAAAAAGCAGTAAGAAACGCAATATCTTATTACTGTCTGACAGGCCTTTTTTATTTTGAACTGGAGTCGTCTCTGTCTCCCAGGCTGCAGTGCAGTGGCACACTTACAGCGACAGGTCTTTGACAATGCTAAAACCAGGAACAGAAATTTTAAGATAGTAGGAATTCTTTATATTTAATACTATTTATAGATGGTAATCATATACTGAAAAGTCTATGAATTATTGATTAATAGAACTAATTCGACAAGATTATCAAATGATTGGAATAATGGAATATAAAATGAAATGCAAATTTAGAAGGATCAAAATCTATAAAAGTTTATGTCTCTATGAGTTCATATTAGAAAGAGGATAGATTTTTTAAAACAAAACAAAACAAAAGAAGCATAAAGTTTAAAGGGAAAAATGGATAGCTTGACTACACCAGACTAAAGATGTAACTTCAAGATAGAACAACAAAGTTCAATAATGAGTGATACACTGTAAAAACATTAAAATATTTTCAACTTTGGTAAATATGCATATCAAGAATATACACAAACAAAAAGAACTCAGTAAGAAGAAATTTTAGGAAACTTATGAAAAAGTAATTTACAAATATGGGGTAGTCTGGGCTGGGCTTGGAGGCTCAGCCTGTAATCTCAGCACTTTGGGAGACTGAGCAAGTGAATTAGCCCAGGCAACTTGGTGAGAACCCGTCACTACAATAAATAAATACATAACAAATTAACCGGGTGTGGTAGCATGTGCCTATAATTCCAGCTACTGGGAAGGCTGAGGTGGAAGGATCGCCTGAGCCCTGCAGGTCGATGCTGGAGTGGTCATGAGTGTGTCACGGCACTCCAGCCTGGGCGACAGAGTGAGACTCCAACTCAAAAAAGCAAAACAAAACGAAAAAACAAAATAGTCTGAATGGCCATACAGTGTATGCAGAGTATCCATGATTTGGTCCTCACTAGTAATGGCAGGAATCACACAGCCAATATTTGAGTGCTTACTATGGCCAGGCATTATCTTTTTTTTTTTTTTTTTTTTTGAGTTGGAGTCTCACTCTGTTGCCCAGACTGGAGTGCAGTGGCCGCTCCCGGCCACCGCAGCCTTGGCCTGCTGGCCTCCGGCAATCCTTCCGCCTCAGCCTTCCGAGTGACCGGAATTACAGGCATGCGCTACCACGCCCGGCTGATGTTTTGAGTTATTGTAGAGATGAGGCCTCGCTGCCCAGGCGGGTCTCGAACCCACGGACGGACTCAGGCAATCCACTCACCTCAGCCTCCCAAAGGCGCGGGATTACAGGCTGAGCCACCGAGCCCGGCTGCCAGGCATTATCTTAAATTCTTTTAAAATATAACTGTTTTGATTCATTAGCAAGTCTCTGAGCTGTGTATTATTATTATCTCCGTTTTTACAGATTGAGAAACAAGAACAGAAACACAAGTACGAGTATGAAGGGGTTGACCTGGAATTTGAATGTGGAAGTATTTGCTAGAGGCACCTAATTACTACAACCACTATGACTCCATGACGTCTGTTAAACTACTTTAGAGCTATCAGTTTGTTAAAAATTAGAAAGATTAGAAAGTTACATAACATCAAAGACTGGTGAAGATGTAGTGAAATGAGAAACCTCACATCATATTGACAGGGACAGCTCCATCATGATTTAGCTACTTGGATAGCAATCTGGCAGTTTTTAGTGAAAACTGTAGGCACATACTTAGTGCCCGCAAATTTCACTCTCGCATGTGTATTCATATGCAAGAGCTTTCACAGATGCACAGGAATGCATGTATAATAATGCCCACCTGCCGGGCGCCATGGCTCACACCTGTAAACCCAGCACTTTGGGAGGCAGAGTCAAGAGGATTGCCTGACCCCAGAGATTCAACACCAGACTGGGCAACATGGTGAGACCTTGTCTCTACAATAAATAAAAAAATTAGCCGGGCATGGTGGCGCTTCCCTGTAGTTCCAGCTACTTGGAAGGCTGAGGCAGAAGGATCACCTGAGCCCAGCAGGTCGAGGTTGCAGTGGCCATGAGTGTGCCACTGCATTCCAGCCCGGGCAAAAGAATTGAGACTCCAACTCAAAAAAAGAATGCCCACCAGAGCACATTGTGATAGAAAGAAATTGGAGGTAATCTAGGAGATCAGAAATAGGCAAATGTCTAAGTAAAATGTGGGATTTGGAGATGTTAGAGAAGAATATACAGTGTCAGAGGCAATAAACAACATGACAAAATGGAGACGGGGACAGACTTTGAAATTATATAGCTGAATAAAATAAGAAAGAGAATTCAATACTGCTTATACCATTAAAAGCTATGTATCATTATTACCTATATTCACAAAAACCATACTCATGTTAATAAAAGCAAATGTTCTGAAAGCACATATTTGCAAATGACCATGAGCCGTATGGAATGGGGCTTGGAAGGCTGTACGTTGACTGCATGTGTGTGGGTGCCTGGTGGAGGTGGGGAGGGTATTGGTGATGAGGAATGAATGGGAATTATGAAATAAAACATAAAAGAGAGAAGGTGCCCTGATAGAGAAAAAAAGCAAGTCATGAACCAATTTAGTTCTGTGCACCTGAGAGCTCAAATCCCAAAGCAAAACAAAATAAAAACAGCAACAGAAAATGTAAAAATCTATTATTCTATCTATATTTTAGTAATAATTTTTTAAATGTTAGTACATCAATAAATAAAATTCAGAGCTGTTACGATTTAAAAAAACTTAGAAATTTAAAGAAATTTGGAGGGCCTAAAAAATAGAACAAAGAGAATTATTGGAATGAATATAGTGTTTCTAATTTCATTGTTTCTTTTGTAGAGTTTTAGATTGTGTTACAAAAAGAGAAGTCTTTACCCCAGGAAGTGTTTCACATGAGCTGTGAAACCTGGGTTACTAATTTACCATTTTATTACCATTTGGTTTAAGAATGGAAAAGGAAAAATACTGGTTCCTATGACCTGAAATCTTGCAGTCTTACAAAGTTTCATTGCCAAAAGGTTTAAATGATTGTTAAGGATAATTTCTTTTATACTGCGTTTATTTTGGTCTTTCTTTTTATCTAATTTCAAAGTTTTTTCTTTGTTTTCTTGTATTTGTCACACATACGCCGACTTTCTAGTTTGCTAAGAAAGAAGTGTTTAGTAGGGCATGGTGGCTCACTCCTATATTCCCAGTACTTTGGGAGGCTGAGATGAGAGGACTGCCTGCGTCTTAGGGGTTCGAGATCAGTCTGGCAAACTTGGCAAGACCTTGTCTCTACAATAAAAAATAAACATTAAAAAAAAATTTACCTGAGCATGGAGGCACACTCCTATAGTTTCAGCTACTAGGAAGGCTGAGGTGGAAGGATCGTCTGAGCCCAGCAGGTTGAGGCTGCAGTGTGCCACTGCACTCTAACCTGGGCGACAGAGTGAGAGATTCCAACACACACACACACACACACACACACACACACACACACACACACACACACACACGAAGTGTTTGATTGTGTTGACAGTCTCTTTCCCACAGAGAAATGCCACATTGCTACCATAAAAACAGCTGCTGACCAGTAGCTGTGGAATAATTTCAAAGTTTATAATGACCCACCAAGCATATCTACTTTTTGAATAAAGGAAACACCTTGGTGAGTGCTTAAAGGAAGAGAAGGCAGAAAAATGAAGATGTTTCTTCCCTTTCAGCGATATTCTTCCTAATGGTCTTATTGCTCTTCTCTTGCATTTATGAATTTTCTTATATGATTGCAAACAATAACAATAAAAATTGCAGCGTGGCTGGGCATGGTGGCTGACGCCTGTAATCCCAGCACTTGGCGAGAAGGAGGCGAGAGGATTGGCAGAGCCCAGGGTTCGAGACCAGCCTGGACAACTTGGAGAAACATCGTCTCTACAATAAATCAAGCAATTAGTTGGGCTTGGTGGCTTGGGTCTGTAGTTCCAGCTACTTGGAAGGCTGAGGTGGAAGGATCAGCTGAGCATAGCAGGTCGATGCTGGGGTGGCTGTGAGCATGCCATTGCATTCCAGCCTGGGTGATGGAGTGTGACTCCAACTCAAAAAAAAAAGAAAGAAAGAAAGAAAAAGAAAATAATTAATAATTATGGATACTGAGTGATGGATACTTAGGGGCTCACTATTAGCTTATATATGTTTAAAATTCCCTATTATAAAGAATTTTTCTTTTTAAAACAGACAGCTTCTGCAAGGCCCAGCCTGTATCCGCACAGGACAGAGTTACTGGCCAGCGGGACAAGGGTGAACTGTTATACCCAGGCATGTGATGCCCCCAAACCTATCCCCAGAATACCTTTGGGGTCTAGGTTCTTAAGGGATGGGTGCCACTAAGTCCTCTACTAGAAAAGAATGAGTAGGGAGATGAGCTGATCTGTCCCAAATTCTGGCACCTCCTCATCCGTTCTCCCCCGCATAATCAGCTGAGCCTGGCCCCACTGGCCTCCTCTCTCCCCATGACTGTCTCTTGGCACCTGCTGTGTGTGGGTGGGAAGGGGAATTTTAAAAATAATATCCAACCTGGGCTTTGTGTAGTTTTAAAACCCCTTAGCTGTATAATTGCCTCCTCAAATACTTGGCATAACTTCAGCTCAGAGAACTGCATGACTGGACATGTTTCAGGGTTTATGATGCCAGTCCAACTGGCAGGTGTGGGCAGCTTTTCCATATGTGTGGTCATCGCTAGTGACTTTTCTTCCTCTCTAAGCTTAAGAGGGGCAACTCCTATCTGTGAACATTGCTTTTCTTTTTTTCTCTCCTTTTTATTGTCACAATTATGATGAAATTTCCGGATGATTTAAACATGTTAGATGATGTATACTAACATCTTTTAAAAATATGTTTATTTCTTTTTATTTTAAAGGTATGGGGTACAATTCAGGATTAGGTTATACAAGTGGTCATCGTACTGGTAAATTTTGGGCATCCCTTTGGTCCCCACTTCACCTGGTTTGAGATTAGGTACCCTTATTGATGTTATGGTCCTCCCCCCAGAATACTAAAATCCAAGGAAAATGTTAGTAGGCTGACGAGAATAAATAACTGAACTGGGCGCAATGACTCAAGCCTGTAATCCCAGCACTTTGGGAGGCATAGGTGAGAG